GAAACCTCAAACTAATTGCCATTACAACATCAGTGGAGAGGACACACAGGCTACTGGACTGCACTAAATTCCATGATGAGGAAGACAGAGAGCACTGAAAGGTAACTAAACAAACGGAAGAGCCGGATGTGAACAGTCAACAAGCCGAACAGAATAAGGAAGGAAATATGAGTTAGAAGTGTGAGAACAGTAATTCCAAGTATGAGAACAGAAGTTAAACACGCCAAATAAATAAACTACAGGTCACCAAAACACAAATACTTTATTTCACATGGTCTGAAACACCAATTCTTAGAATTGCTCATCAGAGTTACACAGGAAGCAAAAAATAAGGAAGAAAAAAAAGCAAAAAGACAAAAATTAGAGCACAAACATGAGTATAGCTCAGCAATGGCCTTTATACTGGTGAGGTCAGTTTAACTCACTAGGGTAGTAGATGGCTTAACATTGAGAACATTTTCATAGTGAATAAACTTCTTATCCCATTTGATACAAAAACTGATTATGAATTCAAAGGAGGGCATTTTCTTACATATGTAATCTTTTTTATCGATCATTAACTCATAGGGAAAGAGTTTTGGTAAGCTGTGCTTATTTTGAAACATGTCTTTGTCACATGCTTTTATACATATTAAATATTTCATATTCAACTTAAAAAGAGAAAAATAAACACAGAGAATATAGACAACATTTTTAGGATCAAGAGAGAGGTTTTTTGTTGTTGTTATTCCTGTTTTTATAAGATAACAGATGACAGATAATGATGAGAATGATCCAACAGGGAGAGTAAAATCAATTATGCAGAAGAGAAAAAGGACACTGGGAGGAGTAAAATTCTGGAGTAAGCTTAAGGGGATAGAATCGTGCACTGGCAGAGAGGTTATCCTTAGAAGCAGGATCCATTGACCAGGTTACATGGGTAGAGACGCAGATAGTTTGGTACATTGGGTGATGAGAGTGTGTACATCTTATTCTGTCTGTTTTCTCAATGAAATGATGAAAAAGTTCATTTGTCTTTTTTTTCTTTAGATTCCACACATAAGTGATGTCATATGGTATTTTTCTTTCTCTTTCTGGCTTACTTAGAATGTCAATCTCCAGGTCCAACCATGTTGCTGCAAATGGCATTATTTTATTGTTTTTTATGGCTGAGTTATACACACACACACACACACACACACATAACACACACACAGCTTCTTTATCCAGTCATCAGTCGATGAACATTTAGGTTGTTTCCTTGTCTTGGCTATTGTATATAGTGCTGCTATGAACATTGGGGTACATGTATCTTTTTGAATTAAGGTTCACTCTGGATATATGCCCAGGAGTGGGATTGCTGTATGTCAGCAGCCTTAAGTGAGCAGGCCATGCGGCCCAGGCGCAAGTTCACAATAGCTTGCACCTGGTAAGAGGTAAATGTACGCATGCGCCGGTAGCGTGACTCAGCATTACGAACAATACGCATGCGCCACTAGCGTTATACAAGGACTAGTGCGTACACCTGGGCGCACGCACCACCCGCTTGTACTGCAATGGAGTGCTGTTTTGCTCTATGTTGGCTCCTCGCGCCTTTTTCCAGCTGGGCAGCTCACCTCTTCGAATCCCTCTCCAGCCTCCCTCAGCTGACACTGTATCATATGGTAAGTCTAGTTTTAGTCTTTTGAGGAATCTCCATACTGTTTTCCGTAACGGCTGCACCAAACTGCATTCCTACTAACAAGGTAGGAGGGTTCCCTTTTCTCCATATCCTCTCCAACATTTATCATTTGTGAACTTTTGAATTTACAAAACAGAAACAGACTCACAGACATAGAAAACAAACATAGTTACCCAGGCGTGCAAGGAGGTGAGAAGGGATAAATTGGGAGTTTGAGATTTGCAGATACTAATATATATAAAATAGCTTAAAAAAGTTCATACTGTATAGCACAGGGAACTATATCTTGTAGAGTCTTATGGTGAAAAAGAATATGAGGGCAAATATTTGTATGTTCATGTATGACTAAAGCATTACATTGTACACCAGAAATTGACACAACATTGTACTGACCATACTTCAATAAAAATATATATTAAAAAAAAGAAATGATGAAAAGGATATTAGCTGAGAGTTAGGAGAAAAGAGGAAGGATTTGAGGTGCAAGGAGCAAGAAGATATAAGAGTCTCTTCACAGACATTACTGGGGGCCCCACTTGAAGAAAATGGTCATGAATTTTAAAAGAGATTGGTTTAGCTGCATGGGTAAGGGTGTAAAGTAGGCAGAAAATTGAGCTCAATCAAGGGCAGGTTTTTTCCAGGCAAGTAAATGGAAAGAGAGAGAGAAAGGGAATTGAGTTCATCTGCAAGAGTGATTTTATAATGAAGGACCCACAGACGCCAAGCCAGGTGTGGGCTTGATGAACAAGTGAAAAGGCGTGGTAAGCTCAATAGCTTGGAAGTCCTGGTGGCGTGAAGGAATTGCAGGAGACAGAGTACCGTGGTGTGGGCAGAAAGAGAGGACTTAGTGGTTAGAGAGCGGTAAGCCTGAAATTCTGACTCTGAGAGGGTGAAGTTATTGGTAATGATGATTCTAGGGTGTAGCCCTGGAGGGAGTGGCTGAGATGGGGTTAAGAAGGATCTCTGGATATAAACAAGCCACAGAACCGAGTGAGAGGCTGGAGGTTGCATGGATCATGCTTTCTGGTTTGCATGTTTTCAGGTTTGCCTGAAAGTTGAAATTACCTAAAATTGATGGCAGAATTAGGTAGGGAAAGAGAGAAGTTATGGAAACAGTGGGCTAAGTTTAAATTTTTTCTAAAATAGGAGTGACTGGTAGGATTGGACTGTAAGGGAGGGTAGGTAGTGGTAAAATCTGATACCACGTGTATTTAAAATCAGTATTTGCAGGGAGGAGATAGCTCAGTGGTAGAGTGCATGCTTAGCATGCGTGAGGTCCTGAGTTCAATCCCCAGTACCTCCACTAAAGAAATCCCAATATTCAAATAATTATGTAAATGAATACTTTATTAATAGCCATTAATATCTGCCAGGATAGAGGCTATATCAATGCAGCTAGTTTATGTTAAATGAAAAAAAAACCACAACAAAAATATTTCTATGTATTTATCAGTGAAACTAGAGAGCAAATGTTTATCAGGACCATGAATGTTATTCCTCCTCTTACAGACTTACTAAGTAATTTCCAGATTCAGAAAGTTGCCAGTTACCTTCTAAATTGAGAACTGTGAGAGGATTAAATCAGGATACTGATGAAGTGTTTGGAAGAACAGGACCTGACAAATAGTAAGTACCTAATAAAACGTCATGAGGGAGTAAAACTAAAGATGATTCCCTAAGGGGAAAATTCCATGCCTGTTCTGCTGCCTTTCTTTACACATTGTCCTAAACCAAAACAACTTTTATATCAAAGGTCACCTTGATCTACACCTTGATCAGATTTTCCCTGATTTGTAAACCAGATATTTTTCCTAATACTTCTGAGAAGAATCTTGTGTTAAGAAATATAAACTCTGGTTCTAGATGTTGTAAGTACTGGGGAAAAGGTTTAATAATTGATATTAGGACAACTGACTCACAGTATTTTTATAATCATGAGGACATGTTGAGATGTCAAACCCAGAATCCACAAAGTTGGATATTTCCAACCACTTAAAAACGGCAAAAACAAATGACTAAACCTTAAACAAGGTTTTGACTTTTAACCGTAATCAAGGTTAGAGGACAAAAGACAAACTGAGAAAATTCACTGTAACATGTGGAGTTGAAAAAGAATATCTAATATGAAAAGAGATTTTATAAAACAATAAGAAAAAGACAAGCCATAATTGTTTTAAAAGGTCAAAAGACATGGGTATGAATAGGGATTTAAAAGAAGAGAAATGGCTGATGAATATGTAAGAAGATATTTGTCGGAAGAAATCAGAGGAACCCGGTCTTCATTGTTTGTAAAACCAGCAATGCTCGGATTTAAAGAGGATGCAGAGGAGCAGCCTCTCAAGCACTGTTAATAGGAATGAAAATTAGAACAGTATCAACTTTTTGGTTGTCAGCTGGCAATTTTTATCAA